CTTCTGTTTTGTCTTTTGTGCTCGCGCTGTATTCTTTGAATAGATTAATTATGTTTTCTCTTCTTGAATTATCACTTGGTGTTTCAAATATTTTTCTATTTGCCGAAACTCTTCCTCCTATAAAAGATCGTCTGATAATGTCTTATAAAAGGATTAGTGTGCGAATAAACTTTTTCTATATTATCCTTTTCAGTATGTTTCGCAACCATTCTAGTAGTTTCATACTATTCTTCTTCAACTATTTCTTTATCGTAATGATACAAATAATACCAACCCTTTAAAGATAAAGATGGAGCCGTTAAATTATTGGACATATTTTGGTTTACAACTTCTTTCGTGACTTGGTTATATTTTATCAAACAACTTCCAAGACATAACGTATCTCTTTTAGCGTAAGATTCCCAGTTATCTTTGGTGTATTTTGCAATATCGATATCAGTGATCTTTCTCAAATTCATTGGTAGATTAGATGAATTACCTCATGCCGCTAAACTAGATGTTTCATGTTGATAGGAACATGTGAAACTAATATGTTGTAAATAATTATTATTACTTGTTATTTCTTTCTGTTTTTTTCCTTTTTTTCTGTAAACCTTCATCTGTGTATGGATCTAATAAAGGTAAAGATAGAATTCCTCTGGGTGTCTTTAAAGGGCATTGTGTTAGTTTTTTTTTATTTTTAAGCAGGATCCAGTTATCAAAATTGCTACCGTTATGAGAAATTAATATTAATCTCTTTCTATCATATTGACCTAAATATTTCAACATTTGATCTATACAATCTGTACCTATAAATATTTCTACTATATCCATTAGTTTATCATAAAATTTTTCTGGAACATTATCTGTAGGATTTAAATCTGGAAAGAGATTATCTATTCTGTCTAACGTTTTTCTTAGTTTTTCTAAATTAATTAACGTACACGCATAAGGAATTGCTTTACGCGTTTCACTTTCTGAATATGTTTCACAATCCCAAGCAAATAACCCAGCATCACTTATACTTGAAATGAAATGAAATGAAATGAATGGAGTTTTACGTCCTACTCTTCTGCACCTTGTGGGCTAATGAAGACGGCACTTATACTTGAAAACACGTTTAGTTTCAGAGGTGAAACCTGTGTTACTGCGTTATCGTCTCTACACGTTTTCATAATTATCTTCTATTTCTTTAATACTTAAACTTTTTTTTATTTCTTCTTATAAGACAGAAATGTGAGTTGTGTAAATATAAAACCCAATCTAATTCCTCTTTTACAATTGTGGGGCGCAAATTTCTTTTATTATGAGTATAAATTTGAAATGTAATATCACATTTCTTATTGAATTCATTAATTCTAGCAGATGTCATCACTCCTTTTCTATTTGCTTTTGAGAAACCATTGATGAAATTTTGAAATTCATTTGTTAAATCTTTGTTTAAAACACAATTTACACATTTGATAAAACAGTTAGCAACTGTTGGTATGTAACAATTTTCACTTATATATTCATTTATTTTTTTGAGTAGTTCAGGTCCTCTTCCAACTTTTGATCTTTTAATTTCTTTAAAATTGTATTTAAGTAAAAAGATACTTCCTGTGAAGTACCAATCAGAAGGGTCAGATTTTTCTTCCATATTTCTAAAGATAGTATTATAAGTTCCGGCATTAAAACCAAGAAGTTTCATAAATTGTTTGTGCTTTCCATCTTGAAATATCTCTCCATCTAATTCAATTTGTCCTTTAAATGTTAAAAATTTATTGGAAACAACCTTGATAACATTTGAAAATAACACGTTTTCTATTAATGTTTCATCATCATTAATTTCAATTGTTTTATTCATATTTTTCATATATGCTTTTTTAATGATCTATTTTTACGCATTTTTTAAACTTTTATTGCTGATATTTCCATCTCAAATTTTCCTAGAATTTCATTGAATTCTTCTAATTCTTCAATGGTTATGTTCTCATCTTCTCTTGTTCTTTCGAAAAATATAAATAATTTATTAAGATAGGTATTTAAAATTTCTGTTTTCTTTTTATAATAAGATTTCTGTTTTGATGTATAACCTATAGCAATCAACGCACAAGATGAAGTTTGAAGCTGCTAAAAAGTTGGGATAAGTATTGGAACCATTAATCCACCAGTTACAGCCGTTGCAATTGCTGTTCCTACTGTTAGAACTACACTCAGTGTCTTGAAAACAGAATCAATTCTAATCCATCTTTTCTTACATTTATTATACTGTTCTAGTTTTACTTTTAACTCGTTTTGTTTGTCTATCATATATTGTTGTCTACTTTCCAGTTCCATTTTTATTAACCATTGTATTAACAAAAAATAGCTTTACATATTCAAAGTCTGATGTTCTTAAAAACGTATAAATTTTTACTGTCTCTGCTTTTTGCGGAGTTGGATTTCTAATAATGTTCATCGATGGTGAACTTTCCGTCTATAATATCATATCAAAATCACCTATTGAAAGAATATCGTTGTCATTGTCTGGTATTATTGACATTCTAAAGGTAAAATAGGTAAAATACTTTTATTTTTAATATAAATCCATATCCTTCCAAGTGATGTTTTTCTAATGTGGCTATATTTTTTTTCCTGTTTTAAAACTTCGTTATTAATAGTAGTTATCTGTTGTTGAATCTCGCTATCATAAATATTTTGTATCAGTTGATTAATATTTGTTAGTTCTTTTTTTAATTCAGTTTTAAATTTAGTTTCTAGAGCAGTTTGCCTAGTTTAATATTATCTATTAGTTGTTTAAGGTATATTTTTTGTTTTCCTATCTTATCATCTAATTTAGATATTAATGATTTTAAATTTTCTAATTGAATTTTATCTACTAGATTGAGTAATTGTTTTTGAATAGTGGCTATTTCACTATTATCATTAAGTTTAGTTTCTAATTCAGTTAATTTTTCTTCACTTATACCTGGTTTAATATTATCTATTAATTGTTTAAGATCTATCTTTTGCTTTGTAAACTTATCATTTAAATTAGATATTAATGATTTTAAATTTTGAAATTGAGTTTTATCTACTACATTTAGAAGTTGTTGTTTAATAGCATCTATTTCACTATTATCATTGAGTTTGCTTTCTAATGCGGCTAATTCATCTTCATTCATACCTGGTTAAATATTATCTATTAGTTGTTTAAGGTCTATTTTCTGTTTTGTTATCTTATCATCTAATTTAGATATTAATGATTTTAAATTTTGTAATTGAGATTTATCTACTAAATTGAGTAATTGTTTTTGAATAGCATCTATTTCACTATTATCATTGAGTTTGGTTTCTAATTCAGTTTATTTTTCTTCACTTATACCTGGTTTAACATTATCTATTAGTTGTTTAAGGTCTATTTTTTGTTTTGTTATCTTATCATCTAATTTAAATATTAATAATTTTAAATTTTCTAATTGAGTTTTATCTACTACATTAAGTCATTGTTGTTTAATACCAACTATATGTTTTTGAATTTCACTATTATCAATAAGTTTAGTTTCTAATGTTGTTAATTTATCTTCACTTATACCTGGATTAATATTGGCTATTAGTTGTTTAAGATCTATTTTTTGTTTTGTAAACCTATCATCTAAATTAGAAATTAATGAACTTAAAGGTTGTAATTGAGTTTTATCTACAACATTAAGTAATTTTTCTTCAATAAAACTTTTCAAACTTGTTACTTCTTGTTGTAACTTAGTATCATCAATAAAATCTTTATTATTTATTTGTCGTTTGAAGTATCTTTTCACATCGGCTATTCTTTCTTTTAAATGTTCTTTATTTACTTCAATTAAATTTAATTGATCCATTCAATATTTCTTGTGAACAGCATTATAATCATTTTCTGGTAACTTTAAATTAGTTATGGTAAAATTATTCATATCTAAATCACCTTGAAGTTTGTCTCCAATTTGATCCACAAAATAAGGTTTTGCCTTATTTATCCATGCTGTTGTGTTAGGTTTTTATTTAGTTAAATTTATTATAATTTCTTCAAATTGTTTTCCTAAACTCAACTGATATAAAACCCAAAGTGAAAGTTGACCACAAAATTTTTGACCCGGTATTTCAATTTGAAATGTTGAACATTTGATTGGTTTATTAGTTAGTTTCACTATCTCTTCAGTGGGTTCTAATCCAAAAGAATCGAAGAAATAAAAGTTATTTAAAGAGTCTTTGTATAAAGGAGAGTGAAGAACTCCTTTTTGATCTGAAGTATGTATATTTGTTATAGCATAAAATTTACCTTTCTTATATTTTCTTTGTAAGTTGAAAGTTTGTAGTTGTATCGGCTCCGTATTTATCGAGAAAGATATTCATTTTAAAAGTCAGTTTTTTGAAGTTCGTTTTGATAGAACCTAACTATGATTTGTTCTTTGTCTTGATCGATTAATTCATATGTCGGAGGTGATGTGTTGTTAAATTTATCTACGATAAATATTTCATTTGTCCAAAATCCAACGTAGCTTTTTTCGAATTTGCTTTTATATTTGAAAATACGAACTCGATCTCCGACTTTAAATTTCAGTTTGATATTTAAATTGTTTATTTCATTTTCGTAGTAATGTTGTGCGTTAATTGACTTTATAATATTTGGATTATTTGTGGCTTGTGTTGGTGTGACACCTATAGATGAGTGAATTTTGTTATTGTATTCATCTACAACCTCTGGTAATATTTTAAGCCATTTTTGGGATTTCAATTCCGTGAACTTTTTGAATAATTTAGTCCTGTTAAATCTTTCTATTACTACAGCTTTACCTTCGTTATGCGTGCTGTAAATTTCAAATCCTAGAGATTTCATATTTTTGTTATAAAATTCACTTCCTTTATCTACCCATAACTTTTGAGGTCGTCTGTCAGATTGTTTCATTATTGTTTCAAATGCGTGTTTGACTGATAAACCCGTTTTGTTTTTGAGAGGAATAACCTAAGTATATCTTGTGTACAAATCTATAACGGTTAAACAATATTTATAATTATCCTCTTTCGACTGGCATATTAATTAAATCTGCTGACCATATTTCATCTTTATCAAACACTTTGACTTTTAAAAAGTGTTTGTTTTTTCTAAATTCTTTATGTATTTCATCTGCTATTCTCATACCCATTTTCATTTTTGCTTTCAAGAGTTTAATGATTAATGCTCTTTGAATTCTCTCTTTGAAAGTTGGATTTGGAATATTTTCAAGTTCGATTATCATTTGTCTGTCTGCTTCGTGTCTGGATGTTATGTCTTTATTTCTGTATAATATGTCGTGTTTAAGTGCATCTGCGTCAACTCTATTAACGGGTTCTTCACCTTGTTTTGGTTTATCATGTTGGTCTAATCGCAGATCTAACCTTGTACCTGGACCAGTGTAATTATGACCTGGAAGATTTTTTTCTCCGGGGTATTTTGCCCATTGAAATCCGGGAAGAGAACCTAATGATTTTTGAATGTCGGAACCGAAATAAGTTTTAGGAGTTTGAGCAATTATCATTGACATTTTTATCCAATAATTTTAAAACCGTTGCCTTTTTTCTTTTCTAATTTTTTATTTCGCATTTCTCTTATATGTTGTAATTCTTTTAACTCGTTAGATCTTTTCACTGTTCCTGCTTTTGCTACAGATCTAAGAGCTTGCGCAACTGAGGAAATGAGGGATTTGTTGTTTGAGACAAAGTTGGCTACTTTTGGGATGAGAGATGATAGAGCTGAGAAAAAGCCGGGGTTGTTTGTTTGGTGGGCTTGCGGGTGCTGCGGGCAAAAGAGTAATAATAGAACGTAAAGGTAGGGGGCACTATGCTATAATTTATAAAAAAAATCGCTTTTTGACGTTACTTGCCTTGCATGAATTCAGTGAACTGGGTTTTCTTAAGAATATCCCTTTATAGTGTTCTATCTAGATTCTAAATAACGCATGTACACGGTTATTATGTAAAACAGATCGTGGAGTTCGAAAAGGAAGTGGTGCTATCCAATGACCATTCAGATCTTTGCGCATATCCTTGTTCATAATTTCCAGAAACTTTCTTCTACTGATAATCCTGTTTCGCTGTCTTCTTTTGTCCTTTCAATAGTGATTACTCCAAATGAATCGTCTGCGTCACGCAAAAAGTGGTCGTTTGGTGTTTCTTCCATAACTTTAAAGTTGTTAGGACAAGGAGTGAAGATCGACTTCCTTATGGTACCAGCTACAAATGTTTTGTTGACATTAACTACTTCTGGGACATGCACTTTTCCCAAACATGTCTCGCCAATAATAACCCATCCTAATGGCAATTTTTGGGCATACGGAGAATGCGTTGATCCAACACGTGGTAAGCCTCTGGTAAATCCCCTCCAATTAGCAGAAGAATTGAAGTTTCCTCCAGACTCGGGATAGAACCACAAATGTCATTTAGATGAGCGTATGCGTGTGCTACCTCATTTGTAGCAATTTCATCTTTCTGATCGGGAATTTGGTTGCATTCTATCAATGTAGGGAGTTCTAACTTTGATTGTCCATCTAACGATTCCACAATAAAGTTATAAGCTCTTCTGCCTGAATTGACGGTAAGTCCTGAACAGGTAGATAAAGTGTATTCCAAAGAATTTCCATTCAATCCAAAAATGTAGACCTTGCTAGTGGCCTGTTACTTTGGTCGTCTAGAATTGCGTATGTCCTTATGGCTTCTTCTGGCTTACCATTCGGGTAGATATTTACGAGTAAGGTCTTAGCACAAGATTTTCAACTGAAACCCTCACCACATATTTGCGTACATTTAGATGACACATCTGCGTCTGACTCTTCCGTCTCCCCTTCGTGATTGGAAAAGGAGCGTGTTGCGTTTTCTATGTGCATTGCTGTTGCGTGTCTCTCGCTTCCACAGTCGGAGCATTTGATCATTTCCTTGCAATCACTCTTCATGTGGTTGCTTGTGCCACAGCACCTTTAACATATACCGTTCTCTTTAAAAAAATTACGACGTTCACTTATAGACGTGGTTTTGAATGCCCGACAATCGTTCAATGTGTGACCGTCCATTTTATGAAATGAACATTTCTTCTCAAAACTGTTAGTGTTCAAATCTGAATTCAATGAGACATCTATCTTTCTCGTTGAAATATAGGACTTGTCAGCTGTGCTCTTTGGCAATGTCCTACTTGTTTTATCGTACTGATTAGTTGTCTCGTAGAAGAACGAAGGGTCGTTTTTTATCCTGCTAATGTCTCTAATAAATTCACAGATACAGAGAAGGGTGGAAAGGTGACATCATGCTTCCTTTTATTATACGCCCACATGAATATGTGGTCGTATATTGTCGTCGCCCCTGTCCGTCGGTCCGTCCGTCAACATTTCTTGTGAGCACTATAGAGACTACAGTTTTTATCTGATTTTGATAAAACTTGGTGTGATGCTTTAGATTGATAAGATCTCGGTCAAGTTCGAATTTGACATATTTTCGATGAACGGTTTTTGAGATATTGCCCTTGACTTAGAACGCCTTGAAATTTGTTAAAAATAGTACGTGAGCAGGATTGAAGCTACAGTTTTCATCCGATTCTGATGAAACTTGGTGTAATCTTTGGAATTGATAAGATCTCGGACAAGTTCTAACTTGACGCATTTTCGATGAACAGTTTTTGAGTTAGTGCCCTTGACTTTGTTAAAACGCGTCGAGATTTGTCAAAAATAGTTCGTGAGCAGGATTGAAGCTACAGTTTTCAACCAATTCTGATGAAACTTGGTGTGATCATTGGAATTGATAAGATCTCGGACAAGTTCTAACTTGACGCATTTTCGATGAACGGTTTTTGAGTTATTGCCCTTGACTTTGTAAAAACGTGTCAGTTTTCAACCGATTCTGATGAAACTTGGTGTGATCATTGGAATTGATAAGATCTCAGACAAGTTCTAACAAGAGATATTTTTGATGAACATTTTTTGAGTTATTGCCCTTGACTTTGTAAACACGCGTCAAAAGTTGTTTTTTGCCCTTGATTAGAGCTGTGTGATTTAATTGTTTGTTGTTTTTGGGTTATTTATATTGATTTTAGAAAATTTTGTGGAATTATTCAGCATAAATGATTTCTTCAATATGAGAAAATTCGTACTTTAGTCACTAAAGACTGTTTTATTATTTCTGACAGCTGCCAGTGGGCGTATGTTACCTTGCAACGCAAGCTATCTTATTTCACTGCAGGATTGGTCCACTTCTCTTGAATGCCATAAGGTAGCTTGTTAACGATTGGCAAAACTCCTGTTGAAGAATCGAAATAAGCTAATGACGAGCTGTACTTTTCATTGCATTTAGTAGATTCAATTTCACTCAAAATATTCATAAAGTTTTTTATGGTCTCTATTTGATAGTTTAGGAAAGTTCGTTAACTTAGATTTCAGTGTTGATTCTACCAATTCTGGACTCCCATACCCCTCGTCTAAACTCTCCCAGATTCTTTTGAGTCCTCTTTTTGGATCGCTGTGATTTGATGCTCTTATACTTATGGCATTTTTACTTGATTCCGGAACTGACCACTCTATCAGTAGATCTAGTTCTTCGTTGGTGCTCATTCATAATACTTAAAAATGTAGACTTCCATAGTGTGTAAAGTTCTGGTCTGTCGTTAAAACTAGTTAGACGTGTAAGTAGAAGATCCTTCTTCAGTAAGAATCTGGTAAACTCTGATGAGAGAGACTTTCCAATACCTGTAAAGGCACCATTATCGACTATTTTATCTTCCATCTCACGGTTAAATGGAGGCTGTTGAACTGTAAACTGTAAAGTTGGTTGATTGTTGTGATTGTCACTTTCAAAGAATGGACTCAAAAGAGGTCCTCGTGGAGTAGGCTTAAAATTAGGAAATTTATATGGCTGTGGGGTGCAATAGATTCCATTTGTTCGATCGCGCTCTGAGTTTCCTTGATCTGGTTTTCTTCATTAGGAAGTGAGTTTATGTATTCTTCTGTGCGCTTAGCTGTGTCTACAACCTGAATCACATTATATTCTCAAGTGACAGTTGTCTTTGACCCCCTTCTATTTCTTCCAATTCGAGGGCTGCTAGTTCTGCTTTGGCCCCAGCTGCCTCCTTTTGATGTGCACTTAGCCCTAAATCTACCTGTAAGTCTGCCTTCTGGCGTGTTGCATTTGCACTAGAAACGTACTACTGTTCCTCCAAAAGAGTATGTTTTTTGAGAATCATGGCTTCCTGTTCAGCATATTTCAATTTTGCCTTTGCAGCTTGAACTTCGGCTCGTTTTCTGACAATAACGGAACTCCTTTTTGAATAACTTGAATGATTTGAAGAATGTGTACTGTATGAATGTCTAGAAGGCGGCTTGCCACATTGACCATGTGTTTCAATTCCCCGAACATGAACAGAGACCCAGTTATATAACTCATTTTGTGAGATATACAGGCACATGCAACATATTGCATTGTGATATTACCCGGCCCCTTTTTACCATTAGAGAATCACGTCTGACCCACCCCAAGATCCCAAATTCAAAATTATTTTTACAAATTCAAAATTCAAATTTCAAATTCAATATTATTTTTTCAATTTCGAAATTATTTTTCAAATTCGAAATCATTTTTACAAATTCGAAATTATTTTTACAAATTCAAATTTCAAATTCAAAATTAATTTTTTTCAAATTCGAAATTATTTTTTCAAATTCGAAATTCAAAATTATGTCGTATTTGAGCTTCCGTACATAATAAAACATATTATATGAATATGTAAATGATAAGCACGGACTTGTATGGATATTACAATGTACTATTTTCTTTATTTACGATAAATATTTCGTTTGGCAGTAGTAAAAAAGTTTATGGATAGGGGGCACTTTATATAATTTTAAAACAAAAAATCACTTTTTTCCTAACATCAAAAAGCTATTTTTTTTTTTAAATATAAAAACCGCCCCTATCTATAAACTTCTTTTTGCCTGCGGCGCCCCTAAGCTCACCAAACAAACAACCCCACCAGGCACGTGGTTCATAAACCCGGGGTAAGCCTATAGGGGTACCAATTTACCAACCCCCAAGCGCCCCAGGCCTATAATATCTTCAAATTAACTCATTTAAAAACAGAATGAGTTTAATTTAAAAACACGAACAACACAAATTCGAAGGAGATGGTTTCTTCTAAGCTCTATCATCTCTCATCCCAAAAGTAGCCAACTTTGTCTCAAACAACAAATCCCTCATTTCCTCAGAAGCGCAAGCTGTTGGATCTGTAGCAAAAGCAGGAGTAAATATAAGCGAAGCAGTGAAAAGATCTAACGAGTTGAAAGAATTACAACATATAAGAGAAATGCGAAATAAAAGATTAGAAAACAAAAAAGGCGATGGTTTTAAAATTATTGGATAAAAATGTCTATGATCATTGCTCAAACTTCTAAAACTTATTTCTGTTCTGACATTCAAAAATCATTAGGTTATCTTCCTGGATTTCCGTGGGCAAAATATCCTGGTGAAAAACATCGGTCATAATTATACTGGTCCAGGTACTAGGCTAGATCTACAATTAGACCAACACGATAAACCAAAACCAGGTGAAGAACCCGTCAACAGAGTTGACGCCGCTGCACTTAAACACGACATAATATACAGTAATAAAGACATAACATCCAGACACGAAGCAGACAAACAAATGATAATCGAACTTGAAAATATTCCAAATCCAATCCAGAGAGAATGCAAAGAGCATTTATCATTAAACTCTTGAAAGCAAAGATAAAAATGGGTATTGGAATAGCAGATGAAATACACAAAGAATTTAGAAAAAAAAAACATTTTTTAACTGATTAATGGGAGGTACTTTGTTTACTTCAGAGTAAAATACCAACCAGTTTATACACGGTTAGTTTTCTAGAGTAATATTGATTTAATAATTACTTTTAACGCCCGGTAACAATCAGTTGTCTAGACTATTGTTGACTGGATAGACGTCACTAAGTAACAGATGGTTATATTAACATATAACATTTCGCCAATGCCACGTCAGCATAGATAGACTAAACTCTCAACTATTAACACTGTCTCAATTTTGTTACGCTGGAAGATGTAACAGGTTATTGTTTATTATTGGAACAAGCAAAACATTAATTAAAATATCCGACAGACGGATGATTCGTATAGAATAATCGTTTAAATTACCCTCTTAAAAATGAAACCGGAAACTTTAGTAAAAAGAATAATAGAAGCTATCGAAACGGAATTACCAACTACAATAACTTACAATGGTAAAAAGGTTGAAATATCTAAAAAAAATTATCGATAAATATAAACATTGTAAAGTTAGAGATGATATAGATTTGGAAAGAATTGACAAGAGTGTAAAGGAAGGTGGATTTTTACCTTTCCTACCTTTGATATTTGCTGGTCTGACCGCAGCAGAATCCACAGCTGGTAGGTCGGCTGGGATAACACAAGTCATCAACGCCAAGAAAGCAGCTGATGCTGAAAAAAGTGATAAACGTAGACATAATATGGAAATGGAATAAATAGCTCAAGGTTTGGGAGTAGCAGATATATTAGGGACAGTTAAAGAATTTGGAAATCGATTTAGTGAAGAAACCAAGAAAACTGAGAGGGATTTAAGTAATCTAATAGATAAAATCGACACCGGAGAAATGAAGGTCAAACATAACGGGAATGCCATAGTTTTTAAAAACAAACGTTATAGAGAGGGAATCTTTCTTTCAAAGCATAAAGGAGAAGGAGTGATTTTTGGAACAAAAACATATAATAAAAAATGGGCAAAAAATTTAATCATTCAGAAATATTTCCTAGTAACCCAATGCTTATGTGTATTTGTGGAAGCTCGGGTTCTGGGAAAACATATTTGACCATTAACATGTTGACAACACCAAAACTTTTAGATTTTGATTCATTATATATCTACACAACAACACCAGAGCAATCACATTATCAATTCCTCAAAGCTTTAGAATATTTACCAAAGAAAGATTTAATTATTATGAAGACAACGATGAGATAGAATTAAAAGATATCTTAGATACATATATAAAAGAAAA